TGTGAGGTGTTGCGGGGGGGGGGCGGCGCTGAGGCAAGCGCTGTGAGGGGGAAGGGGGCGGCGGCCCCGGCTCTGAGGGGAGGCGGCGGGCGCGGGCCCCCGCTGTGAGGGAGCCGTTCCCCCGCTGTGAGGGAGCCGTTCCCCGCAGCGGGGCGGATTGACCGAAAAGGCGGGCTCCGGTTTCTGTCAGCGGCTCCGGTGGGGCCGAGGCGTCCGAAAGGCGTTGGGCGGGCGAGCCCGGCCCCGCAGGTACCGCCCGGGGGGCTGTGGCGATCCCTGAGGCGATGGTACCGGCTGTGGCGATCCCTGAGGCGATGTCCCGGCCCAGCCGCTCCCGGCATCTCCCCAACGAGCGGGCGCATCGCCCTGCTCTGAGACCACCGCCCCCCCACACGCCTGCCAGGGTGGGGTTTTTTAAAAAAAAAAAAGAGATTTCTGGACTAATACCTGAAAACCGAAGCGTCTCGCTCCTGCTCCCTTAGGAGGGATGAGGCAGACAGCTGACAACCAGGTGCACAAGGGACACGCAGGGAGAGAGAAGCTGTATTGCCAGGTAAAGCTAATGCAAACGTTTATTTAAATTACCTACATAGTTTTAAGATACACATTGCAACTCCCAGTCCAGTCAGCGTATCGGCACTGCGTAGTTATCCACTGTGAGGCAAACATAAATGACAGAAATTCAGTTTTCTCATCAAATTCAATGTTATTTTTGCACCAAAAAAAACACACAGTGAACAGAATTTTGCTTTTACCTGGTTATTTCCCTTTAAGAAAACTAATATTTAGGTCTTTTCTTAGTCCAGTACAAAATGTTCCCTTTAATTAAATTAATTTACAGTATCTCCGCTCCCTTGGGACAGGTGCCTTGTTAAACCTTCTGGATACAGATCCCTCGCCTCCATCTAACCCTGGAATGGGGAAGAGCTTTACCTCCCACCTGCCCATGTCACCAAATTAATGATCAAATAAATGAAGCAAAGGGGTAATCTCCAGCTGCGAGTCAAAGAAAGGACTTGTGCAAAAAATCCCAATGGGAAGAATCCTAATCTGGGAAGTCCGGCGGTAGCTCTGGTTTGGGTTTTCTGTGTGTTTGTTGAGCAGAGGTGATAAACAAGATGCCAAGTTTTGGGAATTTGTTGGAGACAAGGACAGTGGCATAGAGTGCACCCTCAGCAAGTTTGCCAACGACACCAAGCTGTGTGGCACAGTTGACATGCTGGAGGGAAGGGATGCCATCCAGAGGGACCTGGACAGGCTGGAGAGGTGGGTTTGTGCCAACCTCATGAAGTTCAACCAAGCCAAGTGCAGGATCCTGTACTTGGGACATGGCAATCCCAGGTACAGGCTGGGCAGAGAGTGACTGGAGAGCAGCCCTGAGGAGAAGGACTTGGGGGTGTTGGTGGATGAGAAGCTCAACATGAGCCAGCAGTGTGCACTGGCAGCCCAGAAAGCCAACCATATCCTGGGCTGCATCAAGGGAAGTGTGGCCAGCAGGTTGTAGGGGGTGATTCTACCCCTCTGCTCTGCTCTGGTGAGACCCCACCTGGAGCTCTGTGTCCAGCTCTGGAGTCCTCAGCACAGGAAGGACATGGACCTGTTGGAACGGGTACAGTGGAGGCCATGAAGATGATCAGAGGGATGGAGCCCCTTTTCTGTGAGGACAGGCAGAGAGAGTGGGGGGGGTCAGCCTGGAGAAGAGAAGGCTCCGGTGAGTCCTTAGAGCCCCTTCCAGTCCCTCAAGGGGCTCCAGGAGAGATGGGGAGGGACTCTGGATCAGGGAGGGGAGCCCTAGGAGGAGGGGGAAGGGTTTGACACTGGAAGAGGGGAGATGGAGCTGAGATGTGGGGAAGAACTTGTTTGGTGTGAGGGTGGTGAGAGCCTGGCCCAGGTTGGCCAGAGAAGCTGTGGCTGCCCCATCCCTGGAGGGGTTCAAGGGCAGGTTGGAGGGGGCTTGGAGCAACCTGGTGTGGTGGGAGGTGTCCCTGCCCAGGGCAGGGGGGTTGGAACTTGATGATCTTTAAGGTCCCTTCCAACCCAAACCATTCTATGATTCTTTGAATTAAGCTTGGATCAGAGTGAGTGACTATGGCATCCATACCATCTACCACTGCAGCCCTCGTGTTTTGCTTTCACAAGAGAGTAGCATCACAGAAACCAGTGCAATGAGCACTTAAAAAATATCAGGAAGACCCAAAGTAGGGAAATCTTCCAGAAATATTCTGATCTAAATCTGTAGCCTCTCTGTCTCTTTCATTACTTCCAGCAGAAGTGCTTTCTGTAATTGCTTATCTTCTGTTGCCCTTTAGTCTTTTTAAACCACATCTACTGGAGGGGAACACATCGCCAGAATAATTCCCTAATTTTTCCTTCAGCAACTTATTAGCATAGCAAATCACTGACTCCGCACACAGCTACAGCACCAAGCAGGAATAATAGTTCCACCTACAAGAAAATATTCTCAGAACTGATGTCAACTGCTTTATAAATGTGCCCATATCATTCCTAAGAAAAGAGATTTCAAGACACAGGTCTGTGAAAGAGAGGGAGGATCTGATGCTTCCAGTAACAGAGCTGAGAAGTCAAAGGGAATGAGATAACAGAGAAAGACTGGCTTCTGAATAGGAAGAGAGGAGCCACAGGGTCTAAATATTGTTCACCCTGGAGAAGAGAAGGCTCCGGGGAGACCTTAGAGCTCCTTCCAGTCCCTCAAGGGGCTCCAGGAGAGATGGGGAGGGACTCTGGATCAGGGAGGGGAGCCCTAGGAGGAGGGGGAACGATCTTAAACTGAAAGAGGGGAGATGGAGCTGAGATGTGGGGAAGAACTTGTTTGGTGTGAGGGTGGTGAGAGCCTGGCCCAGGTTGGCCCGAGAAGCTGTGGCTGCCCCATCCCTGGAGGGGTTCAAGGGCAGGTTGGAGGGGGCTTGGAGCAACCTGGTGTGGTGGGAGGTGTCCCTGCCCAGGGCAGGGGGTGGCACTGGGGGACTTTCAGGTCCCTTCCCACCAAAACCATTCTTGATTCTATGATTTAGTCATTTATGTCCAATCCAGAAGTTGTGTCAGTAACCTGGGAGGAGACCAGAGCGATGGCACAGGATCCGTGTCCCACCCTGCCCTGTTTGGCCATGGCCAAGAGCAGGTCCTTCAGCATGGGCAGGCATGTACAGAAGGTTCCCCTAGATAGAAAGGTCCCCCAAGTCCTGTGGCAGCTGACATCACCCATGGCTTTAGGACCTCTTGGGCACGTGTGGTCCCCAAGTCTTTACGTGACACAGGCAGGCTCCGTGCACGTTGTACCAATCTGAGCTGGTGCCTCCTGCTTGAGAGGGGACAACTTGGGATTCAAGTCCCTGGGGCAGAGGAGAGGACTGAAAAGCCAACATCCTCGTTCTCCGCCGATGGCAGCCTCCCCTGCCTTCTGCGAGGAGCCAGCTCCTGCTGGAACAGAAGGGGAGAGCTCTGACACCCAGGCACCATCCGTTCCCGCATCCCGGCTGCTCGGGCTTCCGTACAGATCAAGCACCCAACCCCACAGAGCTGGGCAGTGCCTGTGTGGGAGCACAACTAGAGGCTTTTCAAGAATATCCACACAAATCACTTGTAGCATTTAAAATCTTCAAAGATTAGCTAAGGGCCGAGTTCCCCGGATCACCATCCCTGACCTCGGTCCAGGAATCCAACCCGAGTCCCATTTTGGTCACATCCAGCCCCTCAGCGCTAGAACCGCTCGGTCAAACATCTCTTTGGTGACCCAGGGAGGCAAAAAACTCACCTAAAACCTCAATCGGCTCTTTGTGGTTTGTGTGTTTGTGCTGCAAGCTGACATGGAGTTTGCACAGCAGCAAAGACAAAATTTGGCTGTAATAAACAAGATGATGTCTCTTAAATAGCCAGAATCCCTACAGGATGATATAAAAACACTCGGCCTTTTAAATCGTACATATACCATCAGATCATCTCCTAGATGGATTCTATTAAGTGTGACCATATAAAAAAATAAATATTGCTTACAATATTTGTTACCTAAGAAATATATGCCCGTGGAGAAAATATTCCAGTATAATCCTGTAAATGTGAGACACTAATTTTCTTCACACTTCAGCAGTCTAAAAGAACACAGGGTCTGCCATCCCTTCAGTAACTAATGAAAGGCACATCTATTTGTGTAGCCTGGGGAGTTTTGAAATAGATTTGGGTTGGGGTTTTTTTTTTTTGCAGAAGGAAAGGGAGATTTCTGTTTTGCTGGCTGTTTAATTTTAATCTTTGGCAAGAGCACCTTGAGCTGTGGATAACTGACTCGAGTTTGTCTAAATCTAAATAGATGTGTGCTTTACGACCCGTCTACCACCAGGGTTGTGTTTTAATGCCAGCATTACCCTTCATCTGAGCAGGGGCTGAAACTGGGGCTTGCTAACAGAGCTTCAGAGAAGAAATGAGGGATGGGGTGAGTAAAAACAGCTTTATTTTCCTGAAATCACCTGTTTTGGAGTGAGATGACCAGGCAACATGAAAAGAATCTGCATTTGGGGAATCTCAGAATTAATACCCGGGTTCTGGTTGTTTCAGTAATCGAAGCCGACAGAGACAAAACTTTTTGTGCTCTGTGGAGCTCTCAGAAATACGTATTTTGAAACCCCCAAACTCCCTCTGACACCGAGAAAAAAGAATGTGAAAGGCTGTGCAGAAACAAAGGGCCGGTGACACACGGCACGGAGTATCAGACCTACATCAAACGCTCCTGCCTGGAACAGGAAGCAACTGGCAGCCATTCCCACTTCCCCCTGCAGCAGATGGAAGTGTGGAAAAAAAAAAAAAACAAAGCCAGAGTCTTAGATGAAGTTAAAAGGTGTTTGGCCAAGAGATGATAAATGGTTTAAAATTGAAAGAGGGGAGATTTAGGTCAGATACCAGAAAGAACTTGTTTGGTGTGAGGGTGGTGAGAGCCTGGCCCAGGTTGCCCAGAGAAGTTGTGGCTGCCCCATCCCTGGAGGGGTTCAAGGGCAGGTTGGAGGGGGCTTGGAGCAACCTGGTGTGGTGGGAGGTATCCCTGCCCAGGGCAGGGGGTTGGAACAAGATGGTCTTTAAGGTCCCTTCCAACTCTAACCATTCTATGATGAGCCTTGCACTGTGGTCCCAGGAGACCACTGACCCCCAGCAGGATTTCATCCCATGGGATCAGAGACTCTTTGTGCAGAAGGTCTCACCCACCGTCCTCACAGAATTTTCAGCGAGAGCAACAGCCCAACAAATGACACTGAGAAGGAAGGGCGTTAACAAGGTGTTAGCACTGTGCTCCCAGGAGACCACTGACCCCAGCAGGATTTCATCCCATGGGATCAGAGACTCTTTGTGCAGAAGGTCTCACCCACCGTCCTCACAGAATTTTCAGCGAGAGCACCAGCCCAACAAATGACACTGAGAAGGAAGGGCGTTAACAAGGTGTCAGAGCAGTGTTTGGGTAGCAACAAGCAAAAAGCACTTTTAAGTAGAATAATCACATCCCCTCTCTAACCAGCGTTTCCTCCTACCCTTAGCAGCGAACAAAAAGCACTTTTAAGTAGAATAATCACATCCCCTCTCTAACCAGCGTTTCCTCCTACCCTAAACCTTTTCAACCACTGCCTGATGCTTTCTCCTGTTTACTTTTTCAAAACAGGTAGCTGAGTGAGAGTCCTTAATCCACCAACCAGATGCACACACCTCAGTCCAGAATTGTGTCTGTTCAACAAAACCCACCCATTATTAAAGGAAGAAAGTCGTGCGTCAAACTACAATTGCAGTTTTGAAAGAGAGGACGTATTTATGCAGCTGATAATTTGGCAACAATGCCCATCTCACCGTTTTCCTCTGGAGAGGCGCGACGGGAGCTCTCATGATTTCGTGCCATCACGATACCGCCTCGACTGGAATCACGCACCTCTGGCACAGGGGGGTCGCCTGTCGGAGAGCAAACAGCACTCGGTTGGAAACAAAGAACAATCAGCATAATTGTCCCTTCTGCTTTGCCAACCTTACAGAATTAGTGGGCTCTTTGGGGACAAAAAGATCCTATTTCTATCAGGATCTATTTCAGGGATTTCTATCGGCACTAAACCAAACTAGAAAACCAGCTTTGGGTATTTCCCCATTCAATTACACCAGGACCAGCGTAGCTGGGTTTTTAAGATTTGAAGATCAAGATCTTGATCTCTTAAGATCAAGATCACCGTTAATGACTGCAGATGGCAATCAGACAAATGTTCATTTGGGGTAGGAAAAGCTGCATCTTTTCCTACAGCTCCAGCACAGCTCTTTACAGGCTGCACTCAGTGCCTACTGTAACAATTCTGGATTACATGTGATGTTTATGGTCCCAAATAAAGATAAAGATACACTGAGAGCAGCTGAAAACTGCATTTCCAGTTTGGCTGTGGCCATTCATTAAAATTCCAGCACATTATCCTTTGTAATTTATGTTCTGGCATTCTGGAAGGATACTATATATGGACTGGTGCTTTGCTGTGATGGTCTCAAGACACATGCAGGACCAGACTCATTGGCAGACAACTAGTGTAGTTGGAAATATAAAAAAAAAAAAATAGGAAAGCTTTTCTGTTGTTTAATCCTTTGCTACTTCTGCAGAGCTCAGACCAAGTTTGCCATTAAAGGCGATGTGCACCCCAAAAACTTGCCTCACAGTTCTAATTCCTCCAATCAGTTCAAGACAAGACATGACTTCTACTAATAAATCTTGTCCAAACTGAAGTGCCAGAAAAAGACGACCAGTTTCTGTGTTATTTTCTGCCTTATCCCTTGAGAGAATAAGTAAATTAGCATGTTTAGCCTAAAGAAAAGATGACGACACCAACCTTCACGTATGCATAGGGCAACAGGAGACGCAGGAGCTGTTTGTTCTCCACGACCACAGTGAACAGGACAAGGGCTTAAAGTGCAGCAAGGATGGTTCTGATCGGAAATTAGCAATAATTTGCTAATTGCAAGGATGGTTAAGCATTGAAATGGACTGTGTGTAAAGACTGCGATGTCACCATCCATGGAGACCTGTAAGAACAGCAAGCGTTTGTCATTAAAGAAAATAGACACTGTTGGGCCTGATTTTGGGGAGTGGAGTAATGACTTGGAGATTCCCTGTGAAATTCCCAGCAGGCCTTAGGAATCGCAGCAGCAGCATTTTGCACAAGACCTGCTGCAAACTACTATTTTCTAGATCAGCACGTCTTAAGATTTTCAGGTATACCGAAAATTATTAACTCTAAAAATTTCTCCCAGATGATCCCAGATCTTCTCATTAAAACATTGAACTGGGGACACTGTGAGTTTGATGGAAAAGATACGTGTTCTTTTGTGCGTGTGTGGAATGGAAACAATTTGGGGCAGACACCTGAGGAGTCTGTAAGGAAGATAAACATTGCTCGTCTCCACAGCCAGACTTGGGAAATCTTCAGAAAAATACCAGTTCTAAGGCAGTGATAAGTATTTCACAAGCCAACAAAATAAGTACGGCCACCTAAAGTAAAACTGTCACAAGTTTGATATGTTGATTTAATAACCTGTATTTTTAAAAGTACCGTTTTAGTTATAGTCATTTTTATGAAAGGAAACAGCTTTGGTTCACTCAATTTGTTTCTGTCAAATACACTGTAACTTGTAGCGGTGATGGAATAAATGATATTTAGTGAAACTGCTAAAATAGTCCCGTGGATTGCATTACCCCAGCAGTGCTAAGAGAATGTGGCAGGTTCTTTTCCAGCAGAGCATGTCTCCTCTGCAACTCGTACAATAAATCAGTGCACAATTATTTTTTTATTGCTTGCCTGCACCAAAGCCCAAAGCACCGTAGGAGCGCGCTGCTCTGAGCACTGTGTGAACTGAGCAGCAGCACCGATGAAGGGGAAACACCACAGCAGCTTTTTCTGGACATAAAAGCACCAAAACGGTTCCTTCCCTGTATTTCTGGGGTTTGGTTTATGATACTGAATCCACAGAAATCAGTCCCACCGTCCTCAGTGGGGGAAAGACCTGGCCTTCAGCAGTTGGTGTAGATGGAGCTGATGATCTCAAGTGAGATCTAGCAAACATCCAGGTCCACGAGGTCTGGAGATCCCTCAGCTCCCACTGAACCCAGTGACAGTGACAGGAACTGCCACGTTGTGCCGAAGCCAATCTCACAGCAGGAGGAGTGGAAACGCCTCCTGTTTGAAAATTGCTCGGAGTCAAAGCAGCACAAAGAGCAGAGAGGATGCTTCCACCCAGAGCACAGACACAACCGCTGCCGAATCCCGTGTGAGAGTGTTTTAGAAGCATGATTCCTATCTCTAGTGGGATCTTCCGGCTCCGATCCACCATCCCAAGAGGGCGGCATTATCATGAACCACAGCAAAGCTCCAAATCCTTTTTTCATGACATTCCTAAACTGTTTGCTCCACCCCAATTCATTTTAGGAAACTGATAAGACAGCTGTGAAAATACACCCTGGAAAGCACTCTCATATTACAAACCAGCTGGCAGAATTTGCACTTTTTTTTTTTTTTTCTTCCTTCTCCCAAGGGAATAAAGATTGTTGTTTATTCCCCTTTTCAAAAAGCACATGAACCCAAATGTAACCTGCTCTTTGTTAACCCAAGGGGGATAGTTAAGTAGGTGTGTACCCATGGAACATTTTGGCTTGCAATAACCAGCAAAGCAGCTGCCCCCGACACACGTGTGGGCTGTCCTCTAAAGATTTGCTGATTATGAAAGGGCGTGTGGGTCTTTCCTTTCACGAAAATGCTCATCGTTTTCACTGTTCCTCCTCAGTGTCTCCTGTAACCATCACTACATCTCTCATTTGGTGCCTTCCCCTCATCAGGTGATGGCTATAAAAATCTGCAAAGCTGAAGACGCTGGGGTGTCTTCACCCCAGTGCATCACCGAGAACACCTAATGGCTATTTTTTTTCCAGAATCGTGTTATCTTAAAGGCAAGAACATGATCCTGCTTGGCCTGTTACGCTGTGTTCTGTTTGTACACCCTTCCTACAGCCATTATTTTACTGAAAACTTCTCCCTTACGCTCCCCTGAGCCGCTGTTGTTGTTTTACACCCCGGAGCCGCCCGCGGTTCGGTGACAGATCCCCCTGTAGAGCCGTTAGCACTCTGCCACGCGGCACAGGAATCCACATCTCCGGGATAAATGACACTACAGACACACTCGAGCTGAATTTACCAAGTGAAAAATGCTGCTTTGATGCCGCAACGCCTTTTTAACGGTTTCCTTCCTCCAGCTGATCCCAGCCGGCTGCCGGCAGCTCTTACCCCAACCCCTACCTCTTTCTCACCTCTCCTTTTCACACCCATTCCTAACAGCAGCCCACACACCAGAGAGTCTTTTCTTCCTCTTGGGCCAGACAAGATGCCCACAGGTTCGACCTGCACCTGAGAAATAAAGTTTGGTAACGGACTCACCACTCAACCAGGGAACCCCGCAGAGGTACAGATGCTTCTGCTACCCCCAGACTCGCTGTGTGTGTGCTCCTGGCAAAGGATCCCAGGAACATCTCCAAATTATCTCCAAAACCCAACTTGGGTTGCATAGGGAAGAGGGTGGCCAGCAGGTCAAGGGAAGTCATTCTCCCCCTCTGCTCTGCACTGGGGAGGCCACAACTGGAATCCTGCGTCCAGTTCTGGGCTCCCCAGTTCAAGAGGGACAGGGAATTGCTGAAAAGAGTCCAGGGAAGGGCAACAAAGATGATTCAAGGATTGGAGCATCTCCCTGATGAGGAGAGACTGAGAACGCTGGGACTCTTTAGTCTGGAGAAGAGAAGGCTGAGGGGAGACCTTATTAATGCTGACAAGTATCTCAAGGGAAGGTTGAAGGAGGAGGGAGCCAGACTCTTTTCAGTGGTTCCCAGTGAGAGGACAAGGGGCAACGGGCACAAGTTGGAACAGAAGAGGTTCCACTCAAATATGAGGAGAAACTTCTTCCCAGTGAGGGTGGCAGAGCCCTGGAACAGGCTGCCCAGGGAGGGTGTGGAGTCCCCTTCTCTGGAGATTTTCAAGACCCGCCTGGATGCTCCTGAGTAACATGCTCTGACAAGCTCTGGGCAATCCTGCTTCAGCAGGGGAGTTGGACTAGATGATCTCTATGGTCCCTTCCAACTCTAAAATTCAGTGAAATTCAGTGAAAAATTATCTGCATTAAAATGGGATGGGCAGGATGGGAAGGGCTCTCTGCCACAGCTTTCAGTCCCTTTCAATACTACTTTAGCCAGGAGCAGAGTGAGTGAGATGTCCGCCTAAAGTAAATGTATCCCTTAGGATGCAAAAAAATAGGGAATGCAGTTTCTACACCACTGTGTCACCTCGCAGGGACCCTGAGAAAAGGGCATTTGGGGGCTGGGTACTGACCTGGAAGACGTGCTAGAGATGCTCTGCTGCCTGTCCCTAGGAAGGAGTTCCATGTGTGAATCCCTCTGGGAATATTATTGCTTCCCTCAGCATCCCATCCTTGTTGCTTTTGAAATGTGCAAAGGATTGTGAATGAAGGGAGCCAGACACAGCGTGGCTGTGCACATCGGGCCTCTCTGAAGCTTTTGGGAGGGTTTCTTCTCAGGAAGAGGGTGATTTGATAGAACAAACCACTCTCCACACAACCAATTATTGCCTGAGTGCTCCAGAACGAGCCAAAACCTGGGTAATTCAGAACCTCACTTGAGACCTACAACTCGTGCCTATAGCTGTGTCATGCCAACCCTGCCATCATGAATATCTGTTGTGTAACATGAGATACTTTGCAGTTAATTTTTTTTTTTTTTTTTTAAGGTAAGTCATATTTGAACAGAATCAAAAATAAGCAAGAGCTAAAATATCTGCAGTGCTGGGGCTGTGCCAAACACCCACAGATTCTGTACCCTGTACTCAAGTCTTGTCAAGTAGCTCCGCACACATCTTTATTCTAATCATTTACTTTCATTTCATGCCTAACAGAGAATTGTCCTGATTACTCAAGCAAAGCACAGCAAGAGAAGTGCAGCAAACACTGGGTCAGCTTTGGGCGCTCGGTGCTGCTCTCAGTTCTCTATCCTCCACAACGCTCTCGGGTTGAAATATTTAGGTGTATGTGCAATGAGACACACAGCTCCTGCCTCTTCTTCCACAAAGCCTTTTAAATAAGTAATCAGGTAACTCTAAGCAGAGAGGGGGTAAGAAAACTGTTAGAGGTTATAGCACAACTAGTACCACTGAGAAAGGCCAGTCACGGAATGATTTCGGGTTGGAAGGGACCTCTGGAGATCATCCAGTCCAACCCCCTGCCAGAGCAGGGCCACCCAGAGCAGGTCCCACAGGAACTTGTCCAGGTGGGGTTTGAATGTCTCCAGAGAAGGAGACTCCACCACCTCCCTGGGCAGCCTCTGCCAGGGCTCTGCCACCCTCACAGGAAAGAAGTTCCTCCTCATGTTTAGGCAAGTTTGTGCCCATTTCCTCTTGTCCTGTCCCTGGGCACCACTGAAAAAAGACCAGCCCCATCCTCCTGACACCCACCCTTGAAGTATTTATAGACATTGATCAGATCCTCCCTCAGCCTTCTCTTCTCCAGACTAAAATGCCCTAAGTCCCTCAGCCTCTCCTCATAAGGGAGATGCTCCAGGCCCCTCATCATTTTGTAGCCCTTTGATGTCCCCTCTCCAGCAGTTCCCTGTCCTTCATGAACCAGGGAGCTCAGAACTGGACCCAGTGCTCCAGATGCAGTAATTCTTTCTGGCAACACAATTCAGTCCAGGGTTTTCAACCCATGACCATTTACTGTCCATACACCAAGGTATCACAGAAGATACCTTAGAACATGCTTTTACATGGACGAGCTCAGTGGCTTTGGCAACCCCATAACAGGCACCAGGTCTACAGACGGGTCCACGCAGCAGTCTACTACCATGGCATCTCTCAAGGGACCAGCATCACCACTGGAACATTTCTGAAGTCTTTATAAAAAGAATTCAAAAATCACTGCTCTAATCAGGACGGGTACATCCTGGAGGAGACCCTGTCCAACGAAATAAAGGTTTCAGGAAACTTAAGCATTAAGAAATGCTTGTGTGTTGTGAAGAACTGAAGTCAGTCTTTTATTCACGCTATAAAAAATTGAGTGATTCACCAGTTATTTACATGCCATTTTCAAGCACATGAAAGACAAAAAAAAACCCCAAAAAACACATAGCTCCAACAGAGTGCTGTGATCAAGGGTGATCACTGCACCCGTGACAAGTGCTGCTACGCTGGATGTTCTGAAGGCATTCGAGAGGAAGTGCTCTGGCAGAGCCAGGCTGGCAGTATGAAGGGAAAAAAGGAAAAAGGAAAAAAAGATGGCAAAAGAAAAAGGAAAAAAAGGTGGCAAAAAAAACCCTTAAAACACCATAAACAATGACAACACTATTTGATAGCTCTCACCACAGCCGTGGGGACACCTGATGGTTGGACCTGACACAGCTGAAGCTGGTTTTTTTTCCTGGGAACTTCCTAAAAATCTTTCCTAAAATAAAACACTCTAAACTCATGACAATACAGTAACGCAATACTCTTTATGCAATGCCCTGAATGCACTGTGGCAGAAGTGACTTTGCCCAAAGACATCATCAGAAGCTAAAGGAAAGAGACTGGCTGCTCTAGAAAGAGTGCATTCATGCCAGCCAGGTTTTCTCCTCCCCTGTGAAAGGGCACAGTGCAAACTGCATCCCTCGAGGAGGCTCTGCAAGCAGAGTTGCTGTTTGTATCCATTCCAGTTTGGAATTAAGAATGTTTCTGTACTCACTCACCATAGCAGAAGGTCACTGTGGTTTTTCAACTTCTTCCTTTGGTGCAAATATCAAACTCAACAACAACAGCCCTTCACAAGAAACATCAGTCAACTTCTTGCCTGAATTCATGACTTTCTTTAATAAATTTGTACTATTGAATAATCCTTCCTATTTAAGAAAGATTTTAGGGGCAGATATAGGAAGACAGACTTAAACCTTTTAAGAAGAAAGTCTTTTAAGAAGCAAAGAATTAGGTAGTGGAGGCAGCACAGCCCAAACGACAGCAACGACGCAGATACAGAGGAGAAACCAACACTTTCAGAAGTGCTCGGTATTTACCTTTTCAGCTCATGTCAACACAGAATATACATTTATTTCTTCCCCCAGAGGTAAGAACAAATCTTGAGAATGTAGACAGAAGACCAGGAGGGTACAGAGATCTGTAAGGCAGGGCTAACACACGTACACTCCACAGGTCTACAAAGACAGACCACAAGCACACAGTATTATTGAGAGTTTGCTTTGATTTTAAAGCCCATGAGACTCTAGGACACTTCTCCCTGAGGTGCAAAAATGCTCGCCCCACAGCATTCTGGCCTCAAATTTAGGAGGTATTTTTCAAAGAGGACTTGAATCCCGAGAATCACAGTAAATGACATGAGGAAACAACAGGGTGTAGCACAGAGGCAGCTGAGCAGAGCATAGAGACGTGGTAAAAGTCAGTTTTAAGCACACAGAGATGAAAATAATCCAAGGGAACAATTCCTCTTCCACCAAGGAACCTCCTGGTATGCAGAATGAAAAGATAACATCTTTTCTTTGTGACGTGCAGAATAAAGACACATCCCTTGACTGGGTGATGTGCGAAGGGAGAATAAACATCATTTCTTCAACTGCAGCTCAAACAGACAAGGAACACCCCTGACTAGTTTGGTCCAGTCAGAATCAGGAGAAAGATGGGAAAAAAAACCAGCCTGTTTTTCCTGGAGATTCACTTTGCCCCCACTCCCAATTACACTCACTTTTACAGGAGGCAGAAACCAAGACCAAGGAGACCAAGGCAAGGTCAAACAGGAAATTTATAAACCACCCGTTTTAGGGAAAAGTTGAGGACTCCTGTCACTGCAGAGCAGCAGGACCCGTGGCTGATAAAGGTCACCCTGAACTGGTCATGACAAGTCTTTACATCCAGAGATCTGAGAGTGTAACCCCACTGTAACGCACACGTTCTTCTCTGGACAGTACTCTACGTTTGTCTCTGTCCTACCTCTTGGGCTGTCTCCTCTCAGACAATAATTTCCAGGAGAGGTGGCTTGTGTTCTAATAGATTGAGTTAACGATTGACTCTAAGTGTTCCTCAGGTCATATTGTTAATAAACCTACAAAAGACTGTGTGAGCTAAAAGGCAAAAGTAACCTTGTAGTCCAGCTTTTGGAACAACAGCTTCAGGATTTGTGTCCCGAAAAGGTTTGGGTGCAGCAGATTAAAAATCAAGTCAAAGATGAGAACAATTATCTTGAGAGAAAAAAAATAAAAATGCTAAAATCAAAGCATTCAAGAACTTAAAGTTAATGAAGAAAGGAAGAAGCCTGAAAGAGTGCTTAAGAATTCTGATTTGAGCAGAAACTAGAATATTCCTATAGAGAACAAGCTGTGATTTCAATATCCCTCATGGAGCATTATCTCTGTTTTGCGCTTTGTTCCTTACGTATGGGTAATAAATAGAGACTCCTTGTAGCTTGGTGAGATGATTTGATCGAGGCTGAATTTATTAGAATAGGAAAAGTAAGCAAATGTAGAAAAAAAAAATAAATCTCAGAGTCTGTGAGACTCTGATGGGAACCAGTCATTTGTCAAGGCAGCAGGGTGATTTTCTTTCGTGGAAGGAGGACAGCGAGGCCCTGGCAGGAGGTGCAGGGAACCCAGGCTGGATTTATGGGAGAGAGAAGGCTCACCAAGAGGTGCACAGAGCCAATTTTGCTGGAGTTTTGAAATATTTTTTTCAATTATTACTCTTTTGAGCATAAGGCGGATAATTGTTACACCTCAGGGAAAAGAGACTATCTAAACTAAAATTTAGATTTCCTGGGAAGCCCCAGAGCAGGGGCCAGTACATGCTGGACCCAAACTAACACAGAAAAGAAGAAGGGTACCTGGCTCAGGAAGTTTGAATATTTAGATATATTGCGGCTCAGGAAGTTTGAATATTTAGATATATTTTTTGTATGGCTAAAAGATACACTTGGAAATTTTAATGTCACCTTCCAGAAGCATTCTTAATACAGGCCTATAGTATTCAAATTATTATCCCTTACCTTCTACCTCCCTGGAAATTGCTTTTGGGGCCTTATCCAATGTCCGATGCAGTCAATGGGAGTGGCTTTTGAACAACTTCCAGGAGAGCCATTAAAGTTCCTTCTTGGCTGCCTTCAAAACACACAGCAAGTTCCAGCTCTGAAACCTGTGCATATGAACATAGAAATATCTGAGCAAGTTAAAGAGGAAAACATTCTTCAACCAGTCCGGACATAGCACGACAGCAGCAAATGACTGAGGACACAGACACCGTTAATTCTAGTAATCCCTGGGATGTTCAACTATAGAAATCATATTTATGACTCTCAAGAAGCTTTAAGAGAGAGAAAAGGAAAAAAAAAAAAGCAGCCCATCACCAGGAAAACCATTTACAAACTGCAATATTTGAGAATGAGCTCATATAAAAAAAGATTAAGTGCAGCAAAACGTGTAACTAGGAATGAGAGAAAGACTGAAATGCCTTAAGATTTAGCATTTGAGGAATATAGAACAGGTTTTGCCAAGAATTATTCACATACATCTGCACAATCCCCATCCATCTATTTTTACTTTTTTTGTGGGCCAATAAAGAGAGCTGTGTATTGTCAATCCTAAAAATAAGCGCGTAAGCTTTAAAAACCATTTATATCACAGTAGAGAGAAGAATAATTATGTTCAAATTAACCTTTCTCCCAGCTTATGTAGCTTCAGCCTTATTAGACTGAGGGCTCAGCAGAACCTTTTCCTCACCTTCAGACAGGAACGAGAAAAAACACACAAGAAAAAGGGTTGGATGACCCAAATCAGAGACAGCCTTAGCCCAATCTTCCTGCTTTTGCATCCTTTGACCTTTTTTCTCCAGGGATTTTGCTGTTCTGCCCTGTAGTGCTCACGTTTTTCAAGAGCTCACACAGACACGTCCATGGTCCCTGTTGGCCTCAAAAGCTCCAGGTGAAATCCTGGCTCCCCATTCTAATAAACAGCAAAACTCCCTTGTCTTCAAAAGGCATTTCCCACTGTAAATTCCAGAGTCATTTGCAGAACTGTCCATCTGCTTAATTGGTCACCCCTGTTGTTGGTTTCTGTCAACATTACCTTCCCTGCATACCTAATGGTGGATTTGCTCTAGTCATATAGTTAATTAGGTTTTCAGAGCACCTCCTGTATACCAGGTAGGGGTACTTGAGTGGCCATCCTATAAATAGGCTTAATAATGGCTAAATAAAATCAATGCCTATTTCTTTCCCTATAGGCAAGCTTTAAAAATTCAGGACACTTCTCCTAAGTTCTCAAACACACATTTACAACCGGCCATAAAAGCCCAGAGGGGATTTTCCTGGAGGAGGGACAGAGATTACGTGGGCTAAGGTTAGGCACTAGGGCTTCCCAACGTTGCTTTTGCCACACAATAAAAGCAACACCGTGCAACCTGCTCCCCATCCCATGCCTCCTCACCATGCAAACCACGCTGTAACTGTCCTGCATCAACACTGGCTCTTCTATATTCCCTTTCAATACAGGAAAAATCCATAATCTGACAAATGCTGACAATACAGCCCCAAACCCTCCTTATTTACAATACTGGAGTATTACTGGTATTGACAAAACCATTCTCCAGTGGATGCCATAAAACTAGGTATTTGTTCAGCCAACGCTATTTCAAGGCAGCTTGTTTATTCAGTTGCTGTTGACATTTCCTATAGTTTGTTTAATTCAGGGCGGTGACACCTATAGGTGAGAGCGCCGCAAATTAACCCGCTTTTGAAGCGAGGACCAACCCTCAAAGCCAGGCAGGGCTCCCACAGCTGTTTGCAGTTGTTTATAACACAAGGGGATAATTCTAACAGCATTCCCTTTTGTTTTTCTCTCTATTTAGAAAACAAATGCTGAACCTTCGGGGGAATATTCAGGAGCCACACGTTACCCTCATCGGCAGCAATGGGGCTGAAAATCATGGTTTCTGGAGGAGAGGGCTGAGCAGATGAGAGTTGATGGTGGGACAGTTGTTGAGGACAACTAATGAAGGGCCTAGAAGACAAATCATATGAAGAGCGGCTGAAGGAGCTGGGGCTGTTTAGTATGAGGAAGAGGAGGCTGAGGGGAGACCTCATCACCCTCTACAACTACTTGAAAGGACACTGTAGAGAGGTTGGTGCTGGTCTCTTCTCACAGGTAATTAGTGACAGAACGAGAGGGAACGGCTTCAAGCTCCAACAGGGGAGGTTTAGATTGAACATTAGGAAGGAATTTTTCACCCAAAGAGTGGTCGGGCATTGGAACAGGCTGCCCAGGGAGGGGGTGGAGTCCCCATCCCTGGCTGTGTTTAAGGGCCGTTTAGATGCAGTGCTGAGGGACATGGTGTAGGGGAGGACTTTGTAGAGTAGGGGAGATGGTTGGACTCGATGATCCCAAGGGTCTCTTCCAACCTCAATGATTCTATGATTCTATGATTCTATTCTATGACAAGAGCTGCCAATCTAAGGAGGGTTTTGCCTTTCAGCTAACGATTTTATTCGCATGCAGTAAAGGCCCTCCCCTTTTTCCCAAGGCTTCCAAGGGGCCTTCCAGATGCTATTTTTTTGCTAAGCGCTCGCGAGGAGTCTGTTCAGGAACTGTAAAAAAGCCAAAGGTTCTTTACACCAGTAATTTAGCTACGTCTGCCCTGGCTCCATTGAAAACACCGTGGCTCCACTGCTGGGGCTTTTGACAGCGCAGTGTAAACACACAACTGCAGGCAAATGAGTTAAAAGCATAATGAAAAGATAACAGCTGGAAGACATGAGTCCGGCGCGTTGTTCCCTGGGCTTTATGCAGTTCCTTGTTCTTGTGCAGTCAACGTAAGAGTATTTCTAAAGCAGGAATGTTTATGTGGTTTATGCATACTTTGCCTCGGTGTTAATAACAACCCAACAGGCCACGTAAAAGAAAATGGGGCCCATGGCAAAGACAGCTCGGGCATAAGTGCAAGGCTTCCAAGGGGCCTTCCAGATGCTATTTTTTTGCTAAGCGCTCGCGAGGAGTCTGTTCAGGAACTGTAAAAAAGCCAAAGGTTCTTTACACCAGTAATTTAGCTACGTCTGCCCTGGCTCCATTGAAAACACCGTGGCTCCACTGCTGGGGCTTTTGACAGCGCAGTGTAAACACACAACTGCAGGCAAATGAGTTAAAAGCATAATGAAAAGATAACAGCTGGAAGACATGAGTCCGGCGCGTTGTTCCCTGGGCTTTATGCAGTTCCTTGTTCTTGTGCAGTCAACGTAAGAGTATTTCTAAAGCAGGAATGTTTATGTGGTTTATGCATACTTTGCCTCGGTGTTAATAACAACCCAACAGGCCACGTAAAAGAAAATGGGGCCCATGGCAAAGACAGCTCGGGCATAAGTGATGAGTAAAATCAAACGGGAGCCTCAATTCCCTCATTTCCTATGGCTAAAATCCTTGGCTTCGCAATTCTAACACCACTTTCACTGCTTTAATGTCATTTCCTATAGTCTTTCGGTTTGTTGTTTGGAGGAAATAAGAAAAGCAAATTCTTTTTCTCCCTCCATGTTCATCACTGGCAGGAGAATGTGAAGAGGTCAGAAATTCTTGACAAAAATATTTTCATCAGAAAAGTAAGATTTCCTTTCATTTCAACTGTACTTGGAAAAAGATTGCTTCCAAATATGTCTTCTGTAGGGTGAGCTTTCCCTCCGGACACACACACATACTTCCCTACTATTTTCCAAATTTTTCCAGTTGGAAGACAGTATGAATGTGTGGGAAAGGCTGTCAAGCCTTGGAACACTTTCCAAATGAAAATAACTTTCACTTTTCAAAGTAACACTTGCAGTACTTACCAGGTGTTAAATCTTTGATGCGTTAACTTTTAAAGTGACAGTATGACCCTGAGGCTGTTTTTAGGCTATTTTGGTACAAAATGTCAGGTTCCTGCTCCAAAGAAGACTCTAGAGCTCTTGTAGACCAACAGCCATGCTTCTAGAATGGAAAAGAGAAGGCTGCTTACATGAGGGGATGCCAACACCTTCCAGTGGGGTTCAAGAACACCAGCCTTACCAGCATCCAGAGACACAGGTTGTATCATTACATTATCTTAAAGATCTATGTTAAAAGACAAAATAATATAAGAGTAGATAATGCATTTTTTCCTCACTCAAGCATTAAATGCAGAACTTAGGTGATTATATGATGAATTATGCAGTAATAACATGACCCTGCAATAAAAATGGAAATTCAGTGGGCAGTCTGTAAACTGTAAGTTTTCCTAAAAAACAACCTGTAAATATCTGCAGAGGAATCAGCATCCTTGGAAAACAATGAGTCATAAATCCTTTTTTTCTTTCCTTGACATACTGAGCACAAAAAGGCGCTAACACAGATAGCAGCTGCTAACATGTTTGTCTTACACTGATTTCTTCATGTCTGAGAAGAAAATGAATCCTTTAACAAAACAGTAGACAAATATTTGTCCCGATTCTTTTTTTTTATTTTCCCCTTAGATGAAGCGCTCTCATTTTCAGTCACTTGTTCCCTGTGTGTCTTGTTTTTTAATGTTGCGTTGCTCTTGCTCAAAATTCATTAAATCGACGTTTTGCCATGAAGAGATTCCCCCATACCCTGGAATCCATCCAGGTGACTCACAGGGGATTGACCATCACATAAAGAGAGCAGAAGACATAAATAATTATAATTAAGTCAAAGGTGACTTAATTATACAAAGGTACATCTTACCAGGATGGATTCTACCAGCGTTAACTCCTATTGGGTAGCGCGCTAATTTACAAGCAGATCCATTTAACCTAATGGCATAATTTACATAATAAATTAGGAAAAGCTTTTCAACAGTGATCACCACCTGGCAAATCTGTGAACGCTCATGAGCAAATATTTTAAAATAAACTCGTAGAGTCCCGATTTTACCAGATGTCTGGCCTATTTTTTGAAATCTAGTTCTTACTATTCAGTGGGAACGCCGGCAGAGGAAGGACAAAGAACACAGCAGGGCAGGTGTGTGCACACCGACGTGAGGCCTCCTTCCACCCGAAGCAGCATTAAACTTGTTGCATAAACAGAGTGAAGGCACCACAGTAAATAAAGGCAGGACCTGCTTTACACAGGATGCCTTTTCACCCCTTATTTCAGCTTTGTTTCTTGTACATGCAGAAATGAGCACAAGAAAGGGAATCGAGTATTAACATGACAAGTTGTATCTTCAGTGCTGCAACAGCTCATAGAATCACAGAATTGCCGAGGTTTGAAGGACCTTTAAGATCATCGAGTCCAACCATCACCCTAACTCTGATAAAAACCATCACTAAACCATGTCTCTAAGCTTTATGTCAAACTCGCTTAAATCCCTCCAGGGATGGTGCCTCAACCCCTTCCCTGGGCAGCCCATTCCAAGGCTTAATAACCCCTTCCATGTCAAAATTTTTCCTAATCTCCAATCTGAACCTCCCCTGGCCCAACTCAGTTACGTGCCATCTCCTCCTGGAGTACAGGGCACAAAACACGGGTCCCCTGCCACCGTCCCTCTCCACTGCTGGCCCAGGGACACCTTCTGGCCATGCCTCACCCCAGCCATCCCCCGTGTTTACCAAGGAGATGATCTTTATCTTTCTCTTCTTTTTATCTAGAGGCTTATACTCCTTTCCTAGACGGTACACAGTGCATGGTATTTAGGCTTGAAATGCAGTACAAGTGATAAGTGCAGCTATAGTTTTCTCACAAATGTAAGGATTTTTTTTCCCTCCATCTGATCCATTTCAAATGCTGCAGTGATTTGTAATGCATATTCATACCACATCACCTCAGTATTGATCTTTAGCCTCACTGTGATCAAATATTTAAAATACACTAATAAATTGGACGTAGACTAATTCACTGCCACTCTATCCTTTATAATCTACAGATAAATTATACAGACAGAATCCCTCCAGAAGCACAGAAAAGAACAGATTTTAAATGGGATTGACAGCCACGGTCATTCACAGGCAGCAAGTACCCACTCATGTATTACACAGACTGGATAAACGGGAAATTGTTACCTTCAGAACTGCCAGTTCCTCACCTGACATTTACCACAAAAGATGAAAAGAACCAGTTGCAGCTGACAACAGACTGGCTTGAAATGGTACAAAGTATGAAGATTTAGAATCTGGTCTGCTTCAGTGAAGGCTGGGACACTCGCACCTGATTAAAAAATAAGGATGGCCAGTTATTTTAAAGGTGACAAAAATCTATCCTTTCAAAATAACAAAGATCAACTTTCCCAATTTATTCGCTAAATGGGCGGGATGTGAAATTACTTCCCCTGACAATGAGCATTCCCGGGGGAATAGTAAATGCAGAGCCCAACATAACACAAAATTTGAAATAAAATCACACCGGGCATTTTTAAGTGTCATCGTTTGTTAATGCTGACATATGTGACTAATCACAGTCAATTTAGTGTTGATGTTAAGTTTGTCATTTTTACAAGGGTTGAGTAATATTAAATATCACTGTGGGCAGGTGTGATTGTTATTTAAAATAAAATTGATACAAGATATGAAGGGCCACATCTACAGTTGGTGTAACAAGTTAGTACTGCCCATTTCAGGACAGTGGAGTGATGCCAAATTAAATCACCGAGGAGCCTGTCTTGCTGTACCCAACTGAATTCTTACATGCTGTTAAAAAAAACCAAAACCAACCCAATAAAAAACTGTGCAACCAAAAATAATGTTTGCATCTGTTTCAAGTACGTGCACAAATTAATCTCAGGCTTTGGGCTGTACAAATTCTACAGCCAAGGTTAGGATGGGGTTTGCCCTTGAAAAATTAAACAGATGCTTTAAGGTTTGGTTTGCTTTTCTTTTTCTTTTTTTTTTTTTTCCTCATTAAAAGCACTGATGAGCACCAGAGCCAGCAAACCAGAAGAGATGGACATGTCAAATCTGGTACTTCAGAGAGTACCTTGGACTTCCTGGCCAAACACCACCTAGGAACCCCAACCACAGTATATCCTCTGTATGCTTGTCCGTGCTCTCTTCTGAAATCCATTCCAAGAAGGCTACTAGAGACAAGAAGTTTCTCTGCAACACCAAACACATCTAATAAGTCATCGCTGCTTATTTTCCTTGTTCAGAGGACAGAAAGAATTGCCACCACGATATGTCATTAGCTATCTTCTTGGAACACCACGTGCTTAACAACCTGAGAGGCTGACATACAGGCCCCTGTTTTCAAAATCCTCTGCACTCATGGACTGCATGTGAATGAGAAGGAATAGAATTATAGAATTGTCTGGGTTGGAAGGGACCTTTAAGATCATCAAGTCCAACCACCAACCTAACTCTGATAAAAACCATCACTAACCCATGTCTCTAAGCTCTATATCAACCCCTCTTTTAAATACCTCCAGGGATGGGGCCTCAACCCCTTCCCTGGGCAGCCCATTCCAAGGCTTAAGAACCCTTTCAGTGTCAAAATTTTTCCTAATCTCCAATCTGAACCTCCCCTGGGGCAACTTGAGGCCGTTTCCTCTTGTCCCATCACCTGTTCCTTGGGAGAAGAGACCGACCCCCCCTGGCTACACCCTCCTTTCAGGGAGTTGGAGAGAGCCAGAAGGTCTCCCCTCAGCCTCCTTTTCTCCAGGCTGAACCCCCCCAGCTCCCTCAGCCAGAACGGATTACTCCATACGAAAGGAGGTCATAAAAAGCATGCAATCAACTTGCTAGTGGATATTTAGGAGCTGGCTCAAAACAAGACTCTGGCAGGTTGCAACCACTGGGGATAACAGGCCACATTCTTTCCTCCTCTCCAGCTGCCAGTGTTTGGAAGATCCACAAAACACAGGGAAAACCACAAAACAGTGCGAAAACAGCGACCCTGATCCGTGGGTGTGTGACCCCACACCTCCCAGGGACCCCACCTCTGCAGCACACGCTCCGGTGGTCTCAGAGGAGACACCTACTTCGACACCCCCCATCTACAGCCTGTCATATCTCCCCTTGGCAGGTCTCTGATACCACAAAATCGTTAAAGTTAACTTTAAACACGTGCATGGTCATATTAGTTTAAACAGGAGGGGTTGTGTGCTCCAAGTTAATCCCTGCATAAACTATTTCCTCTTGTTCAAATCAAGGCGACTGACTGTTCTTGGCAATATGGACTCCTCTGTTCTATCTGCTTGTCTGTCAGGGGGGACCTGACAGGCAACCTCGGGGAGGATATGACTACAATATAAATATTTAACACAACTTTACATTTTAATTTCATCATCCGTCTTTGTAATGATTTCCTAACCTTTACTAATTCACATCCTCCTCCACGAGGCAGGTTAATATCAAAAGGGAAGATAAAACCACAAAGGGATCCAGCATCAGAGCAGGAACTAGGGGGAAAAAAAAAACAAACAAAACAAACTTGCAAAAAGCATTTCAACACCTGCGTTTGGGGAGGCTTGTCCTGAACCATGACATCTGATCAGCTGCAAACCTGGGAAGCTAAGGATGCATCTCTTTTCACACGGTGCAGATGGCATCTCTTTAATTACTCTTCAGCATCACGTGTTGAATAGAACTTTTTTTTTTTTTTTTTTTTTTTTCATCTTCCCGTGAATGTTCCCACATTGAACATTCAAATGAGGGAAAGCAGAGCGGGGAGGGGCAAATCCCCACAAAACAGGGATCTTTCTGTAGTACTCCATAGGAATTATTTCACACCAAAAAAAGACAAAAGTTGTCAGAATGAACATATGATCAAAATCATGGGCAATATTAAAAAAGCACCGGCTGCATTTCCTAGTTACAGGAGCATAGGAGGGGGTTGCTTGGTAACACAGCCTGCCGGCTCCAGCCACCATCCGCTCGGAAATCAGCCATAAAAGGAACTCCCATGCCATTGCAGCGTTGCTAGGGCAACGTGCAGAAGTGATGGATCCCAAGTTAGAGACACACCTTAAGCAAGAATATGTTTCCTCTCATTTTCAACACTTTCCAACCCATAAATACATGGAGTCACCAATTCGAAATAGCTCCCAGCGAGGCTAACTTATAGGGTTTTTTGTTAACGTTCCCATCTTTTGAGACTTTGCATGTGTAGTAAAGCAATTAGCAAGGGAAAAGAACCCAAAACATAATGTCTGCAGCACCGTGTAGTAAAGCCATTAGCAAGGAAAAAAGAACCCAAAACATAATGTCTGCAGCACTGGATGGCAAGCACTTCACCAACAATAAGGTACAACGCACTGCAGATGTGCAAGTGCATTCTTACAGAGCATTAAAGAATCACAGAATCTTCTAGGTTGGAAGGGACCTTAAAGATCATCTTGTCCAACCGTCAACCTGACTGACAAAAATAGACACCCACACAACAAACAAGGAGCATCATCACTAAACCAGACCTCCCAGCACTACATCAACCCGTCTTTTGAACACCTCCAGGGATGGTGCCTCCACCACCTCCCTGGGCAGCCCATTCCAATGGCTGAGAACCCTTTCAGTGAAAAAATTTTTCCTAATATCCAGCCTGAAAGAGGGTACTACACCTGGCAGAGGTGAGCTAGAGCGGAGCTGGAGGTCACGGGTACCAGAGGGTACCCCCAGAAGACCCAGGTTCTGGCAGCGATGCTTAGGGCAGCCCCAGAGGCTGGGATCTGACTGGCTGTGGGTGCCCACCCTGTCACTTGTATGCCTCCCAGCAAGGCATCTGCTGCTGCTCCAGCCCACCCAGTTTGGGGTTCAAAACATGATCTAGCTGCCCAAGCAGGCTTGAGCTGCAGGTGGGGCAAAGCACACCTTTGGGAGACTGAGCATGAACTCGCTCTCCAGTACCCAGGAGACCCAGGAGAAGTGTCTCAGATGGAGATACTCATGTTTGAAACACCCCCTTCTGATCTGATGGATCCTACCCTTGCTCCATCTCACTGCCCCACCGCACACAGCCCTAACACAGCCACATCAGACTCACCAAAAACCTGCCGTGCCCAAAAAACCCCACCCCGATGGGGAGAATGTTTACTACAACCCCGTGGAAGAGTAAGTTTGTTGACTCCTAGAAGTTTTCCCCTTGAAGCTGAAGAGTGATGGGGGTTTGCAGCGTGTCAGCACCAACCCAACGTGCAAAGCCTTTACTTCCAGCAGCTGCCATCCAGCACCTCGTGATTACGCCGCTAAACCAGCCACGTACCTTGATGGGGAACTTCACTTTTCAAAAGTCAATCAGTGCCAGCTTGTAACACTGTCAAGTCCACATTCATCTCACTGGTGCTGGCCAGATCCTTGGGCAAATACCAAGTGTAAATGATGAGGACAGACACGGAGCTTCTCTTTCCGTTGCTGTGACACGCTAATGACTGGCAACTGAGTACGAGGGGGGTTAACAGAAGCCGAGTTCTTTTTCTCCTGAAAACGTCTAAAATGGCCCCACGAACCAAAATTATAAAATAATTATACTCCGCCTTGAGCTGAACACAAAAAGGTTATTCACTACAAAGCCCTAGCAACCATCTTACCCTTAAAGAAAAAGAAAGCAGACTGCCAAAGCAGTAATGAAATGACACACAACTGTTAATTTCACGTCTGTTTTTCAGAAGTCTGTAATAATAACCAGTAATTCCTTACAAAGCATCCATTCTTGTTCCCTAATTCCCACCTAGGGATATTAAAAGGCTTAACCATTCCCTAGCTGTATCTTTCAGGAAGATAATGTCCACTGAATTCCTTATATAAAAATACACAAATCTTTTTTTAAGGGAAATAATCAAATTTATAAAGGCTCTGTAAAAGTGCTCAAGCGAGTCCAAAGGGCTTTGCAGGACCAGTAAGGACAGCTGAACATACCGATTAATTTCTTCTGTGGCCCAACATGAGGTGAGTTTGGTGGCCTCAGCAGAGTGCTTCATATCAGAAGGTCACCTTGCATAGTCTCAACAGTTCCGAGCAGAAAAGAATGAGAACTGCACTAAACCAGACAAAGTTGCACAGGTTTATGCTGAAATCAGCTGAAAATATACCATCTCATCGCCACCATTTTTGTGTCTTTCAAGAGGACAACGTATTTATTACCAAGTAGATAGTGATCTGAAAATAATAGCAAAGGCAGGCAGGATTAGGAATAGCTCCTCTAATTGTGTTGCAACACGATGTTACTGCATAATGAAAAAGAATTCAGTTCCAGCAGCAGAAATCTCTGTGCAGCTCCTGTCA